GGGCTGGCCGGCCCCTCCGCCCTCCTGGCCCCCGGGGGCGGGCTGGAGGGCAAGGGGGGCGCTTAGGGAGGCAGGGCAGGGACTGGCCAGGGCCCCCCCATGGGAGCGGGGGGGGGAAAGAAAAGCCGGCGCCTCCTCCCAAGAAAAGGGGCAAGCCAGCAGAAGGCGAGCTCCGTGCGCTCTGGCGCGCCGGCCAGCTGGCTGGCTCGCGTCGGATGGCTTTTGCGGCTCGCCAGGCGGAGCGCCCGGCTTGCCCNGAGAGAAGAGAGAGATCGGGACGGGGAGGGGGCCGGTGCGTGCGCCAAAGTCGCCTCTCCAAACGGCACCCGGCGCCGGGAAGGGGGAAAGCCGCCTGGCGGTCTCTGGCGCCAAGACGGCGAGGTCTCTAAGCATGTGCAGAGTGCAAAAAGAAAAGAAACACAAGATGCCAAGCCGGCCAAGGAGAGAGCAAGAGGGTCTCTGAAGAGAGAGATCGGGACGGGGAGGGGGCCGGTGCGTGCGCCAAAGTCGCCTCTCCAAACGGCACCCGGCGCCGGGAAGGGGGAAAGCCGCCTGGCGGTCTCTGGCGCCAAGACGGCGAGGTCTCTAAGCATGTGCAGAGTGCAAAAAGAAAAGAAACACAAGATGCCAAGCCGGCCAAGGAGAGAGCAAGAGGGTCTCTGAGCAGCAGCAGAGTGCGGAGGAAGCGAGGAGCCGGGAAGGCGTGAGGATGATCATCTAGACAGAGAACGGGAGGAAACTCTTCTACGTTGTAACTGAGCTAACAAGCTGAAGCTGCTGACCTTCCTTTTTCCAACCAGCTGTTAAAGGCCGAGGAGCCCTCCGCCCACTTGCATGTGGCTACCTTCAAAGTAGAGCCTGCTGTGATTCTGCACCTGAGGTGCCTTGCAAAACGCCTTCCCCGACCGGGGTCGCGCAACCGCTGCTGGCCGGAGCGGGAAAAAGAGCCTCCCTGTGCAGGAGAACTCTACCTCTGAGCGCTCATGGATGCGGAGGGCAAGCTGAGCCTGTCATCTCGTGCCTTCAGATCTTGGTTCAAAACAGATCAAGGTAACAGGGTTTTTGGGAGTGGGCAGGGGGGTTGGAATCAAGAGTTTGGAGCCAGAAGACATGGAGGGTGGAGTACTCCGATATCCAAAATCCCCCAGCCAGCACGGTCAAGTTTAAAAGTGGCTTTAATCCAAGCCGGTTAAATTATGTACTGTAGTTATATTGACTTCAGCCTTAGCATCCAGAGAAGTAGTAAACCAGACCTGGGAAAATTTGTATGGGAAAATATGCTCCTTTCCAGTTTGTGAAGGTCATATGAAAAGGTGACGAGAGGTGACAAGAGCATAGGAAGAGTGCCCTAATTCTCATTTTCTCTCTCTACACACACACAAACACACAAGGACCCAAAGAGGTTTACGTCCTTAAAAAGACCTCGTTTAAAAGCCGAAAACAATCCATTTATTTGCAAAAGAATTAAACAAGGGTTCCATTTAAAACAGTCCATCAAAGCCATTCTTAAAAACCCGTTTAAAAGCAACGGGGGCATAGCCGTCCGTTAAAAAAACACATATATAAACAGTGCTTTCAAGTGCGAAAGATGGAGAGAAATGTAGGCGTCGTTTATCTTTTGAAAGAAATATGTAGCTCGATCTGTAGGTGCTGATTACATCATGGTGCCCCGTCATGGAAAATAAAACTCCTCGTCGTCACCGAGCCCAGATTGGACAAATTAATGGAATAAGGAGGCAGGTGACATCAATTTTGTATTCAGAGTGGTGCTGGGAATGAGCTCCAGATTTTAATCCGAACTTCCCCAGCACCTTCCCAGCAGCTGGACCCTATCTTCCCTGCCCCCCAAAAATGAGTCTGGGGTAAAGTTTTAGCCAAAAACTGAAGAATCCCCCCTCCCACAAAACTAGATCTCCCAGCTTCTGGCTAGGACCATCTCGCCGAGCCTCCACATCCAGGTATCATCTACATTCATGTGCTGAAGAATGGGGGGCGAGCCATGCCGAAGGGGTTCTATGAGACCCCTAAAAATCTGGCCCCAGGAAGTTTTCAGGGACCGACCCATGTGCCGAGGGTCCATTAAAACCACCGTGGCCCGCTTTTAATAACCCACCGCTGGCTGACGTCTCTATTCCTCTTCAGTCACCCGGCAGAAAAACCCAATTTTATTTTGAGATCAATTCACTTCAGGCAGTAATTGTGTTTTCACCGCATGTTCCCCTTCACTGTCACCAAAGTCCTTCACGGGCCAAGCAGGGGAATTTCCCCCCCTCCCCATTTCGCCACCAAGCAAAATATTACAGATGCCGCCAGAAGCCCGGAGGTATAAGGGAGGTATAAGGCAGGCCCCGTTTCTCGTTAAATCGGTTTGTGCCCCAGTTTATTGCCTCCGTTGCCCGTCCTTCTCAGGTGCCCCCTGTTCCGTGCCGTCTGAGGCTTCTTATCCACCTGAGGTGGCTTTAACGTGGGGCTTCCATCTCGGCCAGATGGACCCCTGCTTTGTCCCTCAAAGAAACAGGGACCGCAGGCTCTGGCGAAATGTTTGTGTGCATTCCGTGGCACCATGGCCCCTCAAACGGCAAAAGGCCGCATCAATTTCTCGAGCCACGTCAGTGGCTCCAGCTGCTCCAACTTCGTCCCCCATTTGCTTGGTTGGATATTAATTAAAACGAGGGGCCAGACCCTTGCCCGAACGCCAGCCGGCAAATTGTGAAGATTCTTCATGGAGAGCGCCTGAGAGTCACCGGCGAATTTTAATAACATTTCTATATTTAAGTCAATGGAACCCTTGCCACCCGGAACGGAGCTGAGCTGGTAGCGTGGCTTAGCTGCCGGATTTCTCCCACTGGTCTCCCTGCAACTGATCCCTTAGATCCTCCTGGTTTCTTTCAGGGAGACCCCCCCTCGTTCCTTGGGGAGAACTTTCCTCCCAAGGAGCCGTTCGTTTCCCTCGCTCTGTTTGTGGGGGGGGTCGTCTAGCTGAGCTTGTCCTTAAGGACCGGGAAAGGGGCCCGACCTCTTTCTCTGGCTCAGCGGGTCATCTTTATCTGCCAGTGGGTGGGTATGCCGCCTCCTCGGACCCCCAAAGGCCCAGGGTTTTCAGAACCTGGCTGCCCCTCACCTGGATCAGATCCAAATAGGGGGCCAACTCATCCTCCCATCAGTGTAAGGTGGCCACCTCCCGTCACCCCCAGACGTACAACCTTGTCGGGTAGACCAGGCTGGGAAAGGCAGAGAGACTGCAGGAAAGAGAGGGAGGGAAAGGGAGGCCCCACATGAGTTTTGAGGCACAGCATGGACCAGAAACTTGATCCCCCAAGCGCATCAGACTGGCTTTTGAGGCCTGGCTCACAAGCCCCATCCTTGGTAGGTGGTCGGAGCCGAGAGGGGCTTGTGGTCCACAGGGCTTGCGGGGGAGGAAGCCGCCTGCCTGTCACCCGTTCGATTTTTGATGGAGGCGCCAGGGGTCAAACCTGTGACCTTTGAGCTGTGAAGAAGGCCAGGATAGGAACTCGAACCCTGGTGATTTGACTCTTATTCGACTCTGGGTTTGTTGGTTTTCTGGGAAGAGGCGGGGAGACTTGTTTTTCATAGGGACTTCAGACTCGAAACTTGGTCCCAAAGACTCGAACTCGAGACCCGGACCCAAAGCCTCGCCAGCAGCCCTGAAAGAAGGTTCCATGAATATGCCGCAGTTCCTCTTAGACATGTGGGTTGTTTTCATTCCTCAGCAGAGAGGGGACTCCAAAGAAGAAGAAAAAGAGGAAAAAAACACAAGCCATCATCTTTCCGTTCTCCTTCCCTGCTTTCCTTTGGAAAAGCCCCCACGTCGGGGACCGGCATGCGCTGAGCCTTCAACCAGTTGAGCCTGGCCAGCGCAGCCCCGCGCGGGCGAGGAGAGGTGTCCATGCGCCACTCATTTCACCACCCCGCTCAACCCCACCCACGCATGTACCGCTGGGGAGATTGTATGCACAATCACGGCCAGGGAGCCCAAACTGAGCCGTGATTGTGTGTGTGTTTTAATGCGGCAAAAGGTGACTCTTTTAATCCGGCGCTGCTTCTCCCTCCGAGCCAGGCTTCATTACGAATTCCAGCCATTGCTCTTGTTCCAGCAGGAATCCGCCGGCAAACGGGGTGAAAAAAGAAAGAAAAGAAAATCGGGGACTTACAGATCTATTTCTTTTTCAGAGAGTAAAGACAGATAGGAAGGAGAAGCAGAGGCTGAAACCCAGACTGATTCCTTCTTAGTAACCAGAGCAAATCCTCCTGTGATGATCACCCTCTGCTGATTTTCTCCCAGTCATGCCTCAGCGCGCGTGTGACCAGAATTCAAAATTTCAACCCTGGGCTTCTCCCGTTATTATTATGATTTTTTTTAAAGGAAGGAAGAGTGAAGATTGGTTGAGAAGAGGATTTCCAGAAAATCTGGACGGGGTCGTCCCTGCAGTGAGGTTCGGCTGAAGAGCATCACGTTCTGAGTTCGAATTCAAGAGGGAATATAATATTGATCTCTGAGAAGGAAGGAGTAGGGGTCGTATGGGGACCCCATCCTTAGATTCAGGTGCTTGGCATTACATCATCTGCTTTCCAAAGAGGGAATCCCTCCCCCATCGGGTGGGGTGTTTGTTGGCTGTTGTTTATTTCGGATTTCTGTACACCCACGCCAACCCTCTGCCCTTGGTCTAAGGAGTAGCTGTTTTCGGTTGTTTCAGCAAGAAACTGGAAAGGCCTCAGGGTGCAAATTGGTTCTGGCCTAAGATTTCGTGATTTACAACCCTTCAGACAGATGGATGCTTCAGTTTTTT